ATTTAATAATTATTTAAATAATTATTTGTAAAACGTATAGATAACATTTTATTGAAGATAATTGATGGAAACACACACATGTGTGGTAACAAAAAATTATTTTTTGGAATCTCGAAACGATTAAATAAATAATAATTAATAGAAAAATAATAGATGCTGATGAGACGATGGGAAAAAAAGAAAATAAAAGAGAAAATAGTAGAAAAATAAATCATTTAAACAAAGTATTATTTATGTGAACATCTAGGATAAAATCCACGTTAAGCCAATGGGCGGGGGGGGGATCTTTATCTTTTCTCTTCGTTCTAATATTAAACGAGCTATTCGTCTCTGTCTTTCACAGCCACTTAAAGGCTCTAAATGTTTTCATCTCTTTCTCTTTTTTTTTGTTTCCTTATTCTTTCTTTTGCTTTCACGTGGGATCTAACAGAGAAGGTGACGTATAGGAAACGTTTTGAAAAATCCACCTGGGATTTAGTTGAAAGTTCACTGAAATACTATTTACAATGACGATAGTTTTCTTCGACCAATGTTGTTTATCGTCGTTTCCTTTTTTTTGTTCACGATATAAAAAAGAAAAAAAAAAAAAAGGGAGAGAAAATTCAATACTTTTTTTGTTCTTTTCTCTCTTTCTCTCTTCTTATATTATTTGTCTTTGTTTTATAATAAAACCTTGGTGAGAGATCTTACCCATCTAATTTTTTGTTTTCTTTCTTTATTTATAAAAAAAATCAACGCTTAATTAACCCTTTTATAAGATAGTAGTATTCTAAAGAAAAACAAAAAATAATAATGACGTATAAACATTCCGACAGTTATAATATTATTTATTACGATATTTCAATAAACCCGAGCTTTTTAAAAATTTTGTTCAATTGATATTTAACAAATTGTATCCAACGTAAATGATACAAAAAAAAAAACAAAAACAGTAAATATTTCGTTCATTTTAATTAAGTGTCTCTCGTGCAATTAATAAAAATTCGAAAAAAAGAAACTTCTTCCCTACAAATCAAATTTTATTTCTATTGGTTTAGTATTACACTGCTAGGATTATTTTTAACACGTAAAACGAATTGTTATAGATATTTTGTTAAGAGAATTATACGATTCATTTTATCGAAAATAACGATTACAATTTTTCTTCGTTTAATGGGGAAAAAAGAAAATACTTGTACAATAACGGCGGTGGTGGTGGTGGTGGTGGTGGGGAGAATGGGGGAATGGGGAAATAGGGGAATGTAGGTAGCTGTCACCATCCTTACAGAAGTATACTACTACCTGATAGTAGTCTTGTTACGTAATACCACGTTAGAACGTAATCTAATCGGACTAATGCAAGTCGAAAGCGAATAGAAGAGATGCCGATAACTGGATTGGTGCAATGCGGCATATCTCCACTACTCTCGTTCGGTCATTAGTTATTTTCTTAATCAGGCATCGTTAATCAAAGTATAAATCGCTTTGATTAGCTATCGCACTTCCTCATGGGATTTATCCTTCTTTTTTTTTTTTTTTTTTTTTTTTTTTTTTTTTTTTTTT